TTCAGCCAGGGAGTTATACTATGGCCTGTGGCTTGGGTAAGCCAGAAAAAAAGCCCTCACTGTGGATTGCAAAAACTCATTCTCCATGAAGAAACCATGTCAGAGATTTCTAAGAGATAATTCTACAGCTACTTTCTGTACTCAGAACAGCTGAGTAAACCTGTTTTGCCCACAATATAAAGCCGTTCAGCAAATGCATGTTATCTGGAAAACAGTTTTAAGACACAGGATCACGAGACCAAACTCCAGGAGCAGGAATGCTGATGGTCTTGTACCAGGACATTTTGTTGGAAGATCTGTCCCCACCTGTTTGCTTCCTGAAAAGAAATGTGGCACTTATGGATTTATAATAAAGGAAACCCTTGTTCAGGTGCTCTGACTTTTGAGAAGAAACCCTTCTAATCTGTAAGTCAGATGGGAAGGGGGCTGAGGCGGGCAGTAAACATACAATGATGCTGCTGTAGGAATGCAGGTGTACAATGTGCTGCTGCTGCTGGCCCTGAAGAGCCAAGGCTGGATGGGGGAGATGTTTTAGTGTGAAAAAGATTAGGTTATGCTGACTACAGGATGAAGCAAAGTCTTGGCTCAGATTTATCTGGTTGGAGACTGTGCCAATTGGCACCATCTCCTAACCTGGGTCCCCAGCTTGCTTTGTATACCCACTTGGTGGTCTCACAAAGCATCCATCTTCAGAGATGATGAACCCCTCAGCTCCTGTTGGCTTTAAAGGTAGTAGTTTTGAGGGGTTTTTTTTTACTGCTTGGTACATTGACTCGTGTTTCAGGTATTATTAGCATGTACTTAAAGGGTATTTTCTACTTTTAAGATCTGTCCCACTGAACCAGTATGATCCTGTTGTGTTTTTTAAAGTCAGCTGGTAGAACAGTTAATGCATGTGCTCCTGAAGTCCTTGTTTTGCTCTGTATTTCTGGTAGGTGGTAAATCAGGAAGCTTTTGGTGATTCAACTCAAAGCTGCTTCTTTACCTGTTCCCTTCTCATGTAGACGACAGACCAGAATCAAGTTGTACTGATTATGCCAAGGAATTGCTGCTTCAGACAAAAATTTAAAAGGGAATTGGGGGTACAACTTGAAGTTATTAATATGAATTTACATATGAAAACTTGTTTTTGATAACTTTCCACATCACAAAAATTTCTCACTAGAGAAATAGGTCACATGAAAAAATCACCTATTTGAATATTTTTCTGGTTCTCCGGGAGACTTGCTATTTTGACACTGTGCAAATATTTTGTTGTTAATTCAGCTGGCATTGCAGTGGGTTATAACCATTGTTGAAGTAAGTGCACAAGAAGGGAAATAGAAGAACAGACATTCTTTGAAATACGCAACTCTGTGAACACAATTGCTAGAGGAGACATGAATATAAAACTAAACTTCTCTATTAAAGTGAGTGTTTATTATTTCTTAAGATTGTTCTTTTACCAAAAAGAACAAGCATGTACCATTTTGCTACCCAGATGTTTCCAGAGGTCTCTGCTGAGGTCATTCCTGCTGAGTGCAAGGCAAGTGATGTAGGGAATTAATGGGCAGCAGAACAGAGAAATGCTGTGGTGCTTGCAGGCGAGGTTGATGACCTGGGACAAAGCCTTGCTCTGCCCCAAATGCTGCACATGCATCTCCCTATTGGCTCTTGAAAAGAACAGCAAATTACTCTCTTCTGAGGAGTGTTTGTGTAATTGCTGCTCTAAGCGAAAGAAATCTCATCATGGATTTAGAACCAAAATTGTCATTTCCAGTTTCCCCCTGCCCTAGCCTTCTGTGAGAAAGGTTCAGGCCTGTTTGGGGAGTAGGGGACCAGACTGCTTTGGTTTCTGGCTGTTGCTGCAATAATACTCATCTTCCCCTCCTCCAGTCCTGTCCCTAGGGAGTCCAGATGGAGCAGGTGGGACCCTCCAACCTTTGATCCATGACAGGCAGCAGCAAGCACACATAGCAATGCAGATAGTGTGTATTTTTTTCACTTTGGAAGCCTTTTGGCAGGCCTGAGCTTCCCTCTGCCTTTGAATCCAAGGAATGCTTCTGGAGGGTGGGTGCTGCTCTGCAGTAATGGGTGGGACAGGGGTGTCTCTCCTCTGATGTGTCCCTGGCTGTTCAGCTACTACTTTATCAACACCAGTTGTAGTGTCCCTGTTGGGTTCTTCTGATCACTGCTGCAACCATTCCAAAGCTGTTGTTTCCCCAGCTGTTTGGCAGTTTCACTGTGGCCGTGAAGGATGGAGACTGCTAACCTGCAGGAACTGTGGCATTACCAAGAGACAGAATTTGGGAGGTAGAAAAGTTGTGCCAGATTGCTGGTTTTATAGACTGTGAAGAGCATTCATTTATGGATTTCACTGTGACTTCCTTCTTTTGGCTGGGAGAGCTGAAGCTGAGTGGTATCACGGGCGTGGGTAGCTCTGGCAGATGTGGAGAGCTTTGGGGGACACAGCTTGGGGCTGTTGCTTGAACTGAAGGGTTCAAAGACATGGAATAACTGAGGGTCCTACAGGCACATACAGGAGGTGACCAGAGCTTCCTCTGGTGAGCTGCCCCACTACAATGGCAAAATGTCCTGGTGCTCAGACACTGTGGATAACTTCTCATCAGCTTCATGAACTGAATGCAGCCTCTCCATTTATGTCCTGTGCCATCAAGAGCTGAAGAAACCTGGTGTGGCCAGCACAAGGGAAGGGTGGGGAAAGCTCAGTTCTCCTTCCTGAGCGTGGTAGTGGTGCCAGTATTGCTACCCAGGCTTGCTGAGAGATTGCTGAACAGCAGACACTGAGAACTCATCATTGTAGGAGCAGTGCAAGAGCTCTTTGCTACCTTGACAAAAACCACACTGACTGAGCAGTGCTTGGTGTCTGTAGCTGTCTAATAGAGCAGAGGTGCTGATTTTTTCCATTGTTATTATTAGCAGTGAATTACAGTGTTCAGCCTCTAAAAGGACTAGTGTTGGTGGAGCAAAAACCCAAGGGATTAGTGCTCCTGCTCTCACATTGGCACTGGTGGGATGGGTGTAGGACCATGTGGGGACACCCAGAATGGCCCTGCTTAGATCAAATCCCTTTCTGGATATTGTTTTTTGTAGAATTGTGCTTTTCTGCTCAGTTCTGTCATTCTGAATTGCAAAGGCACAGTCATGACTGACTACACTTCTAAATATTGTGATAGTAAAAGTCTTTTCTGCTGTTGGCCTGACACAAAGCACTGCACCACTAGCAGGCAGCAGCAGCTTTAAATGAGCTCTGCAGACTCACTGGGACAAGATGATGGCTCCAAAGGGATTTAGGGTGTGGGATGGACAGTCTGTGTGACTACATTAGTTAAATAATGGTGGGGAAATGGCTGGTGAATATCTGCAGCAAGCTGTGAGGGAAAAGGACTAGCTGGGTAAGCGTGCTGGTAAGTCTGGTCTCTGAAGGAGACAGAACTCTGCACAGTTCCCACAGTTGTTTCAAACCAAGGATTTTTAACTTTCTGGCTATGCAATTAGCCTTGCTGTGAAGCCTCAGCAACAGATATTTTACTATGTCCCTTAGGAACATTTGTTCATTAGTTTACAATTTTAATTAAAATTGTGCTGCCTAATTTCTTTGAACTGTACTGACTTCAGTGGCATGGTGCCATTATCCCACAGAACAGAAGGACACACCTGATGCTGGCTGGCTCTCACCATTGCTGTGTGCAGTCCCTAAGGAAAACCAGGAGATCCAGGCACTTTTAGTGCTTACAGGCATGTGGTGTTTCTGGGGAACATTTCCCTGGTGCATGGTCATTTCACCTTCTGCACCCATCCAAGGCACTTTTGGGTCCCATTGCTTTTCCCACTCTTGCTGAAGAAGTCATGGACTTCCTCGGTGCTGCAGAACTCTGGACATGTCTCCATGGTAAGGAGACAGGTTAGAGATGCAAGGGGCAGAATGACTGGCTGGGTTTGTGCAATCTCACAGCTGTTGCTGGCTGTGGAGATGGGGTGGCTGTGGGTAAAGAGCCTCCTCTACACCTTGACTGGGGGTGCCTGGCTGGTACTCAGCCACATCAGTCACAGCCTTTGCTGGAGATTAACAGGGCAGAGATGTATTAAGTGCTCTGCAGAGCCTGAACAATGTAATTACCCTCCAAGTGAGGCAAGTTTGTGCCAAGAGATTTTTATCTCCCATGAATGAGCTGGAGAGTGAAGGGCTCCTGGCTTTTATGAAAGGCAGGAAACTCCAATTCTCCAACTTCTATTTTATGAGCCAAGAGATTTGACCACCATGAAGCAATGTCTGTGTCATTAACTTGGCCAGACAGCCAGAATGTGTCAGGACAAGGGTGGTGACTAATGCTGCTAGAAATGCTCCTGAATTACTTGTAAGCTGCTGCTCCTGGAGCACCTGCTGTCACCAAGGGGACTGACCTGGCAGCACCAGAGCACCTCTGCTGGCTCTCAGCTCTTCCTGGCAGTGCTGCAGGTACAGTGGCCCTACAAGAACTTTGGCACAGTCTGAAGTGAAGCTCCACAGGTGGAGAGAAGCAGGCAGCAAGAGAGGAGTGGTGTTTCCAGGGAATGGGAGGACTTTGCTGGTGTGGGTGTCTCTAACTGCACCCATTATCCTGCCCTGTCTGCTGCTCTTCACAAGTGAATCCCTTTGATCTGGAAATGAGTTTGGCTTCTTGCTCTGCTATCCCAGTGGTGGGAGGGCTGCTGCTGCACTCCATCCAGCCTGGCCACTGCTGCTCTTGGTGCCTGAAATAACTGTTTCCTCTCTTGTGCCTGTTCTCTGGTGTGTTCTGTGGAGGAATGAGGTCTCCCTGTCGTGTTTTGCAGAACTATCCAGCCATTTAGTCCTTGCTAGAGCAGGCTGGTTTCCTGCTGGTGTGCTCTTTCATGTCTGTTGAAATTAATCCAGCTCTCCTGAATGTGGGCAGCAAGAGCAAACTTCTCTTGTGCCACAGAGACAAACCACATATCAGACTTGATGGCAGACCCTTATGGACCTGTGACAGTGATTCCTCTTCAGGCACATCCTTCCTCTCTCAACACTTGTTTCTGTTTTCTCCCTTGTAGCCAGTTCCTTTTTGTTCCTTGTCTTTTAGCAGAAGTATCTTCAGTTTGTTAATCCCCCTTTGATGGCGTGTCAGCTGCTTCTCTGAAGTCCAAAGGGATGAGCTCCAAGTCTTCATTTGACTTTCAAAGGAAGAAAGAACGAAGTCTGACAAAATTTCTCTTTGCAAAATTCACACTTGTTACTGTGTTCTTCATTATCGTGTACTATTTCAAAATTTGTTTTAAAATCTGTTTTTTTACTGCAGTTAAACTACTGAGCCTCAACCTTTCCTTATCACTTCTCACTTCTTAAGAGCAGATATTGTGTTGCATTTCCCTAGTCACATCCTAATGTTCCAATGTGCTCAAACCCTGCTATTTCTGCAGCCTTTTATGTCAGTCCACTCCAGTATGCAAAATTATGGTTTTTTCCCCCTGGAAAATGGGCAGGAAAATGGTGAATTAGTGTTTATCACATTATCTATCTTGCTTCTTGCATCAGATCCAACATTATTTGTTTTATATTGAAAAGCAATGCAAAGGGTTAACTTGGCTTGGGGCCATCCTGAGATTAGCATTTACCCAATTTTCTCTGTAGAAAGACCCTCCCTTCTCCTTCCTTTGATCTACTTTTTCTCATGTAGCTGACTAAACTTGTCTGTTTGTGTAATACCTCCTGTGAGGTGTCATTTGGTCTGAGGCTAGCCGGAGGTGATAACCAGATGCTTTTGACCCGGTGTGTATTGGTGCCTTTGCTCTTATTCCCTATTCCATTTCATTGGGAATTTCTGCATGCTCCAACTACTCTCCAAAGATGGTTAAATGTGCCTTTGGCTGCTGTGCTGCTTCAGACCCTTTACCCCTCTTGCATGAGAAACAAGTACCACAGCAGCTTAATAGCTTTTCTTCCACTTTTGGTCTTGAATTCCTCAGCTTAGCTGATTTCCCATTTTCTGGAGATGATCAACTTGCCTTTTGGAATTGGGAACTTGGGACCACGTTTTCTAGAGATTTGTTGTAAATTAGTATGCACTCAATCGATAATCATTTATTGTTACCACTGCCTTTTCACAAGCTCTGCTGGTATATGCTGGGGCACCCACCACCACCACGTGTCTCTCTGAAGGGCCCCCATGGCACTGCAGTCTCCTGTCTCTGTTTCTCTGTGCAGTCCCTTTGCTCTGTAATCATCCTCACCTTTGTCTCTGCTTCAGAGGCAGATAAATCTCTGCTCTCCTGTTTGCTGGCTGGTGACTCCTTGGCCTCCTGCCTTCATCAGCCCTGCCCTTTCAGCCAGGGCTCAGCAGTTCATGGTCCACCAGCTGGGAGTGAAGCTTAAGGAGGAAAAGGCCTATTCATGCGGATCAGGTGATGGGGCACTCCTACAAAGCCTCGCCTGCAGAACAAAGCATTTTTGGGGCTTGCCAAGTTGCCTCTAAGGATGCAAAACCCACCTCCTGTGCAATTCCTTCCCTTAACAGAAGGAATTCAAACCTCCCCACACAGACCTGTGGTGCCTTTAATTATGTGGGCACAATGCAACCTTCGTGGCTGTCGTGCCCTTGGAGGAACTGGCAGAGAGGATCACAGCTGGTTTTAGCCTCCTCTCTGTCAGCTTTAGCTAAAATTAAATAGCACACAAGCTTCCTCCATACCCTCAAACTTGGACAGCCAAAGCCTTTCCCTGTTGCAGTTTACACATACTCACATTCTAGTTAATAATATAATTGAGATGTTTCCAGGGATTTAAAAGACTTCTGACTAAGCTCTTGGCATAAAGAGGAAAAAGTGAAAGCCAGAGTCAGGGGGAATCAAGAATTCAACAGAAGCCTTTGAACCAGCTTTTGATTTACATATGAATAACATTGATCTGCAAAGGGAATTGTGTCCAGTCATCCCCAACAGAGGTGCCAGGCAGGAGCTGGTTCCATGCTGGGAGTCTCCCCCAGTTCCTCCTAGGATTATTTTCTCCACCATGCTTTTATGACTGTGCACTTCTTCCTACTTCCACAGGATCTCACAAAGATATCAATTCCCTTGGTCTCAGGGGCAGCGAACCACAGAGTCCAGAATGACTGTGGTATGTAGAGCAGGGATAGATGTATAGTCCTGGAGGTCTGGGAGGTGTCACATGCTGATGCAGAAGCAGAGTCAGCAAGCAGGGGGGTGTAAAAGTGCCTCAGTGCCTGTGCTGGTGGTGGGACAGCCCGGCAGGGACATCTGCTCTGCTGCCAGGCTGTGCCTCTGTGCTGGGTGCTGACCCTGTGACTTGCGTCAGATCCTTGCATGGATTCTTGTCAGTTCTGCTGCTGAAGGTGTTGGAGATGAAGGATTTGGTGGGTTTTTACTTAGAGGAGCCACTCGAGCATAACGTACAGCCTATAAACTGCTTAGAAGCTTCTAAGCTTTACTTACCGTTCCTTCTGGGGTAACCAGCGTCATGTGCACGTCTGACTAATGCTTTTTAAAATGCAGTAGATTAAAGGTGAATGTGTTGTTTTGGATTAAGCATTACAATGACAGCATTTCTCATTGCTGTGCACATACAGCTTGTCAGGGATGATGAACACTTCCTCTTCCTGAACTCTGCCAGTCATCCCTGAACCCGACAACAGCAGCTCAGTGATTTCACCTCTGCCCTTTTCACACACATCCATAAACACACCTGCATGCTGTTGTCCCAACTTCACACTCCGTGAGAATATATTAACAAGTCAAACCTTGAATTTTCACATCTAGGTGTTCTGGTTTTTTATATTTCTGTTTCTTTTTCTGAATGTCAGCCTGCACAGGTTGATGATCCATCCCTCAGGGGGTTCTGCAGCTGCATACTTTCACTCCCAGCTGCAGGCTGAAACTGTACTTTAATTCCCACAGGACCTGTGCAAGCCTTGTTTGTATCTGGGTGTCACTGCAGATCCCTCTGATTGTGTAGAAGGTAGCAACCAGTGCTTTCAGACTACGCCAGGAACCTTTCCTACTCACTTGGCTTCTTTCCTTTCTAGTCACTGTTCCTTGTGTCTTACTGATTTAAAACTTATCTTTTCTAGTTGTTCCAAAACATTTTCAGTACCAATAGCTTTTAACTGAACAAGACTTTGACTTGGAATTTCTTGCTTTGGTTGCAGGGAAAAGAGGGGATGTATTTTTACTAATGAGCACTCTGCTCTCTGTGCCTGCAGTATTCTGCAGGATGCCTCATTCCTGTCTTGCTCGAGCTGGTTTTGACCAACCTTACATTCGTGGCAATTTATATTTAATCTGCTGTCCAGATCTAGTGCTTCTGAGCCACTTCAGTCCACGCGCCTCCTTCTCCTTCCTATTTTGGGCTCCTGGGTACTTTGACGCTTCTTCTGTGTAGCTCAGCCTTCCAAGCTTCAGCTTACGTGAAATCCCCAAGACAGCCAGCTTATGTCACCATCATCCATCAGGGACAGCCACAAAGAAATCTGCAGCTCAGTAGAGCTCTTCTTGCTCCTGTTCCTCTGGAAAGGGACAATGTAAGCTTATGGAGAAGGCAGGCATGCTGCAGAGCTGCATATATGATGTTATGACATTAGAATCAAAGAAAATGATGTAAAACTCATTTGCTACAAACCCCACCTTTGAGTATATGAGTGTTACATAAAGCAATCATTTACTGTGGTGCTAGAATAAAGAACTGTCAAACATCCTGTACAGATGTGATGGTTCTCTCAGCAATAGGAAATGTCTTTGTTCACAAGATGAGGTGAAAGAGAACTTTTTGAGCTTGCCTGAGCTATGTCCAGGGTACCAAAACCACAGGCAGTGTATGTCTCCTGCCCTGCTTTGGTGCAGCCTGGATTTATCCCATTCCCCTTTTTTGTCCTTTTGGCAGAGCTATTGAAGGCTCTAAGTGAGGAGTTGCAGCTCTTTCTCTTGCTCTGCCAGAATTTCCAAGGGTGTCACCTGAAAGATTGTTTTGCAGAAAGGCTGGAAACTTGTGTCCAGCTGCAAATGAACTGTCCCAGCCCTGGAGAAAACTTGGGGCCCTGTGTCAAGATCTTGGTCACGCATTTGACGGAGCCTTGCATTTGGCTCTGCTGCTGGCCTGCTGGGTGACCTTGCTCAAGTCACTTTGCCACTCAGGTCACCTCTTTCCTGCTCCTTGCCCTGCCAGCCCACAGGCACAGGGCTGCTCCTGCAGTACAGATGAGAGACGACCCAGAGGTTCAGCTGCACCGTGGGCTCCTCAGCAGCTGCCAGGAGCAGGGCACTGTACAGCAGCTCTTCTGCCTGCACTGCCCAGAGCAGCAGGGACCTGGCCTTTGTGAGAGCAAAGCCACTGCAGAAGATCTCATGGAATGTAACATCTCCTGTAACTAATCAAGTAGCTGTTTTCTGTCTCCCCAACCCTCCTGTTACCAGCCATGCATCCTATTTGTTTCTTAAGCAGCCCCATACCATGGTGTTCAATAATGTGAGAATTCTGTGCTTTAGGAGCTGGATGCAGCACTGCTTTCTTAAATAGCTGTTTTCTTGTGTTGCAAATTAACAAGATTGCAGTGGGTTTGTAATCAACAGCAATTAACTTGCCACAGAGGCTGCAAGAGAAATCTTTTGCCCACATTGCAGGCTCCTCTGATCTTTTTCACAGCACCCAAAGCAGTTGTACCAATGTCTTGCACAAACACACAGAGCTCTTTTCTGGGCAGCAACAGGGCTTGGGGCTCTGTTCCCCAAGCCAAAGTCACCACTGGGGAGTGCAGGAGAAGGCAGCCCAGAGTTACTGGTGTCCCACAGAAACCTGCTCTGTGTCCTGCCATCCGTGTGTGCGTGACCGCGCCAGCCTGACCAGCTGGAGGGTGAGTGCCTGCTGGACTGCTCCCAGTAGCAGGGAGGTGCAGGGCAGCTTGAGATCCCACAGGGAGGATCACAGCATATCCTGTGCCTTTCTACCCCAACCTGGCATTTCTCTCACTTTTCCCTATGGAAAGAGCACCTGGAAGCACCTAGAGCACCTGCACATGAGCCTCCACCCAGGGACCTACTAAACTTCAGTTGAATTTTCTTTTAAAAAGGTCTGACATCCCTTCTGACCCTCCACTTCTGCCCTTCCTGGGCTGTGCTGCTGCAGTGAAACCCCTCCAGTAGATTCACATTGGACTGAGGAGGTTTCTGACCCCTGGGATGATGGAGCACGCCAGGTTGTTGTTTAGGGAACATGATGTCCCTTGGGCAGAGCTCAGTGCTCTGCCCTTCCAGTGAAGGCAGGGATCCAGCTGATCAGCCAGCTGCTTGTGCAGATAATTGCAGTATCAGTGAGATAGAATTAGATTACATTTATTTCATGATCAGTTATGTTCAAGCTCTTCACAGACATCTTTACTATGTTAAATTTAAATTAATTCATTGCTTATTCTGGGAAAAGATTAACATCTAAAAGCTACATGACTTTCAGGGCATTTCTATTTAGTAGTGCTTGACTTCCTTCTAAAAGGCTTGATCTTGCCAAGTTGAGAATGAAATATAAACTGCATTCACTACAAGTGAACTGGATGTAGCACCTGAGTTTGTACTCACTTCACACACTGCTGGTAATTGGCTGCTTTGTTTGTGCCTGAAGTGTCCTGGATATAAACTGGCTCAGATGGTGGATGACAAGGACATCTGTGATGTGCTCAGGAGGCAATTCCTTTTGGGACAAAGCAAGGGTTAATACATGGCATGGTATCTCTTGCACACCAGAAAGGCTTCTGCCAATGAGTATTTCCATCATCCCTCTCTGCCCACTGCTGGGAGACAGGTCATATCCAAGCAGATCTAGCAGATTTCTCAAATGTGAAAGAATATCTCCATTTTTACCTTAATTGTCCTGAAATGTCAAGGTCATAAGGTGTCACAGTTAGTTGTCCAAGTAGCTGGAAGAGAGACCCTCTCATCCATGTTCTCTACATCCACTAACTAAAAGATGGAGCAGCAATGGTCTGAGAGACTCCAGCTAATGCAGTATCAGCAATAAATTTCAAAGCAGAGAATGCTGCTCCTTCAGAGACCAATGAGATATAGTGGATAGGCATCCTAATCAGCTTCTGCACATGGGCTCACTATTCAGCGTCTGTACTTTTCAAATAGCTTCTGGAAGTAGATTGTCATGGTTGATCACAGTTTTTGTAGCCTGTTCTCCCTCTGTTGTCTTCCTGCCTGTTCCCATATCAGCATAGATATTCTGACAACCCAGAGACTGGTGTTTTATTTCTGTCATTCCAGTTTTTCTCATGTATTATTAGATCAAGATGGTTGTCTCTGTCTCTTTTACTTCACTGAATCTGCTATAAAGCAAAAGCAGCACCCACATCCTCTACAAGTATTCACCAGGAAAATTCTCACCCCCAGAACAGAGTATAACTTTGTGCTATCTGTGTTTCCTCCACTTTGGTGAGAAGGGGTTTTCTACTTCGAAAGCCACAGTGATGGACATGCCCTGGGTCAA